CAGGGGTGAAATGATTAGATCATGAGAGCTGTGACCTCATCACTTGAGTGAATTACTGGGTGAAAACTGTAGGCAGTGGGGCATGGCTGGAGGGAGCAGGTCACTGGGGGCATGCCCTTGGGAATCTGACTTTCTCTGGCCTCTTCTCTCTGCATCCTGGCTACTATGAGCTGAGCAGCTTTCCTCAGCCATGTCACTTCCAGAATGTGCCTGATCTGGACTGAGACCTCTGAAACCATGAGCCAAAATAAACTTCTCCTCTAAGTTGTTCTTGTCAGGTATTTTGCTGGCAGGGATGAAAAGATAACTAACACAGTGACTTTATAGATTGTTACAGGAAAATATAGGTAAAATGCCCATTTTTACTCTTCCCCAAACAAAGATGACAGCTGTTGACCCCAAGGCTGTGTGCAAGAACAGGGTCCACAAGGTGAGAAGTGATGTGCCCCAGGGAAGGGAAAGAGGGTTTACACCAGCCAAAGTAGCTGCAGGCACCTTGAGCTCCCAGCATGCTGTGGCTGCTGCCCTCCTCTTGTATGTGAGGCCACTTAGTCCACAGGGAGTCCTGGGCACCAGCAACTGCCTTCCAGGCAGGGGAACTGAAATGCTGAAATCACACAAGTGGCAGGAAGAGGAGCCAGGATTGGACATGAGGCAATCTGGCTTTAGAGCCTGTGCACAGCCCTCTGAATTGTCCTGTTCCGGTGTGCTATAGTGTACTTAAAAGAAAAGCAGCTTCAGTTTCTTACTTAAAAGAGTTTCCCCTGAACCTCTGGGTGCTGGTTGCTTTTCCATTTTGCTGCTTGAGTCTTGAATCATTTTCCTCCAAACAGCACTTTGCACCAGTTTTGAATTTTCAGTGTTTATAAGGAAGTTTTAAGCTTGAATAGCTTTCTGCTATAAAGGTTTTATTTATTGTCTTCTCAAACATTATATCAACTTAATATGCCCTCCACATGACAAGGTTTTATATCATCCTATAAAATAGTTAACTATGAGTACCTTTTATATTTGTAGGTTCTAGAAACCTTTTGGAATACCAGGGTTCTCTTAAATGACTAATTACCTCAAATCAGATGCTTGTGGAATACCATCCGGCAGGCAGCTGGCTTTGTGTGAAGAGAGCCCAAGAGCTCTTTTTTTGCTTTGTTCATTTAAAGCCATTTGCTGCTTCTTTACTATCTGTGAAGAACCCAGTCGCATCCTGGCAGAACACACTGCTGTGAATTTTGGGTTGTCTCTCTGGGCTCCACCTTATGGCTGCAGGGTGTTGGAAGCCAGTGCTTCCTTCCTTTCTGTGGGCATTAGGGCCTTTGCAATCCAAGTCATGCTGAATAACAGAAAACTGTAGGTGAACTGTCTCACCACAGAGGACTGCAGCCTCTTCCTCAGGAACCGAGTTGTTCTGAGCTGATGCTTCCATTCTTTTGCTGTGTATCCTAACTGTATTCCTTCATTATTAAGGACAGGAGTGGGACACTCTGCTTCTGAAAATGAGAGGACCCTGCAAGTCTGCCAGAACCTATGGTAAACCCACAGGATTCTTGTGTCCCATTCAGAACAGGAAAGATATGTCCTATCTTTTTAAAAAATAACTCTTAGCATTTCTTGATTACAAAAAATATATGTAAAAGTTTAAAAAAGAGCCATGAAAATATATTAACTCATAATTATACACTGGGTACCTATTTATATTATGTACTATTTGTATGAATGTTTGTCATGGTCTCTGCTTATATAAAATGTTTTCTGTGTTGATATTACTTCTGTTTTCTGTTTTTGTCAACTTCACTTGACAGCCTTCAGAGGTTCTTGTTTTTTAAAAATAAAACATATATTTTACTTTTCCAATTTTTACTCAAAGTTGCTGTAAAATACATGCCAAATAATCTTGCAGGAATTGGCTCTCTACTCATTGGGTTCTATAAATTAAAGACTAAGCATCTGTGTTTGTGTAGAACTGGAGGGGAGAAAGGGAGCTTGGGCAGGTAGGCAGGCAGAATTATACTGGAAGTGCAGTAGCTGTTCTCTTCCTCTTGAGCCAGGGTGGTGTAGTCAGTTCTGTAATGGTGATGCACAATTCTTTTCAAATGTGAGCTTCAGGATACTTCTCAGTGCTATAAAAATGAGCTTCAGTTAGCTGCCATTCTTACCATCTAGCTGCCATTCTTACCGTCCAACAATTTTCAGGTAATTGAGAATTAGTTGCAGAAAATTCACATGCCAAACACCATTTCCTTGTGGTTTCTTTTTTTTCTTTTAACTATAGCTACCTTTAGAAATAATATCATATGGGCTCTGAGCCCTGCTTCATCTGGTTTAGGATGTGTCCTGACATTTATAAGATGGCATAGTTGTGTTCTCTGATGTCAGTGCTATAAATCAGCACGGTGACACCGCCTTTGTTTAAATAGTTTTATTATTCAGACAACATTAATTTCTAAACTTTCAAAACTAACCCTTGAAGTGGGAAATTCTACCAGTTTACTACATATTTTATGTAAGATAATACTTCTCATTTGTCTTATGGATACCATTTTAAATATTCTGGGAATTTGATAACAGATCTGTAGCCACGCTAATCTCACTTTCATGGACAACTATATGCTAGCCCCCTGCAGGTTTTATAGCCAGGAGTGGTTGAATCATTAGAGAGATACGGACTTGGGATCCAGTAGACCGAAGTGTGAATCACAGGCTGACATTCTGACCAGCCACATGGACTTTAATAAGCTGATTAATTTGATCCTTAGAATCCTCATCTATAAAACCAAAATGTGTACTTGTTCTTCATGGTAGTTGTGACCATGCATGAAAATCATTCAGGGGAGAGCACCATGCTCAGTGCGGGGACCAGCACATGGGGGTAAACACCTACTTCTCCCCACTTTCCTCAAGAGTATAGTTGGTCGAAATCTGAATCTCTCCAAGCCCTGCATGAGCTGAAGAGCAAGTCAGCACCTGATAGCACATTCATGAAATGCCGTTTTTGAAAGGTTTAACTCAAAAATAAGTTTTCTGTATGTTACTTTTTTCTCCCATATAAAGATATCACTTGGTAAATGATGAGATGTGTGCCCTACAGATAGATCTCACTCAAGCCCATAATTGCGTCTCATTTTGAGGGGCTATCCTGCCAGGATCCTGCAGCAGAGCTAAACATCTTCAGTCCGTTGATGCTGCTCATTCATCCACATGAATCATGAGTCCCTGAGGCATGGGACTCAGGATGGGGATATTAGCACCTACAGGGCAGTATAAGGGATACAATTAAATAATGTTTATGAGAAAATGTTGACCAAAGGATACGGAATTTCAGTTAGGTGGAATAAATTCAAGAGCTCTATTGTGGTACCAATGGTGAATAACAATATGTTGAATTCTTGGAAATCTTAAGAAGTGTTCTCACCACAAAAGAAATGATAAGTATTGGGGTAATGCATACATTAATTGATTCAGTTTAGTCACAATGTGTACATATTTCAAAACATCATTTTCTACATGATAAATGCAAATTATTTTTATTTTTCAACTAAGTAATTAGTTAAAAATAAAAATGTGAAAGTACCGGATGAAACTTAAGATTTATACAAATGTCTGGGAAATTCCAAGTAAGATATTTGTTGTTTAGGATGAATTTGTTTTCTGATTTAAGGAACTGGTTCTTTCTTCCTTAAAACAAAGATTAAAAGGCAGGTTGAAGATTTATATAGATAGAAGTTTTATATATTTTTATGACCACACAAAGATTTTAAAGTTTACCATTAAAAATATTAAGGGCTAGGGTTGTAACTAAGGTAGTGTGAGGCCCTGGGTTCAATTCTCAGCACCACATAAAAATAAATAAATAAAATATCTATCAATGACTAAAAAAATGTTAAAAATATTTAATTGTGTGTGTATGTATATATTTTATATATATATATATATATATATAAAATATTAAGGGTGCCAAGACCCTGTCTCAAAAAAATAAAAAGGACTGGGAATAGCTCAGTGGTAGAACTCCCTGAGTTCAATCACAAGTACAAAAAAAGTTATTAAACAATATATTAGTCGAGCAAATGAAACATAAATTTATAATTCCAGTGTTTTGAATTACTTTTTTTCTGTAGAAACCAGTTGGTCCAGCTATATATGTTTGTTTTCTACTTTATTCCCAAAAAGGACTGTCACAGGCTAGGTTCAGATCACAGTTGTCACACATGATCTGATGACAGGACTTAGACATGTCAAGCCAGTTCTTTCTGCTTTGGTTTTAGTTCTGCATCTACATGCATTAGACACAAGATTCTTCAATAATCTTCAAATACTGCTTAAATTCCCCATTCTACAACTCAGGAAGCCAATTTCCTGCTGTATTCTCTCAGCTTTGAAAGTCACAAAAAATGCCTGTTAGATGTTACCCTGACCTAACAAATTCTTGACCATGAGTCTGATGCATGACTTGTCTGCTTGAGCCCTGCCAGGAGAACTCAGCAGTGTCTCTTGGTTCTGAATCACAAGAGCACTAAGGCTATCAAGTGTATCAGAAACGAGCAACAGGCAGAAATCCATGTGTCAGCTACATCTGTGACCTTTAGGGACATTAGCAAAGTTCACCCCCATTGGCTGTTTTCAGATCAGCTTGCCGATGGGGGCAGAATAGGCCAACAAATCAGGTTCCACCAAGATCTGTTATTTCTGTGGGTATTAGTGGGGACAGCCAGACTGTCAGCGGTCACACAGGCTAAGTGAACTAAACACTGTGTTATCCTTTCGGAACTGAGAGTCAACTTTTAAGGAATATGATTTACTCTACAAAAATATCTGGACATGGACTAGGGCTGTGGCTCAGTGGTAGAGCACTTGCCTGGCATGTGTGAGGCACTGAGTTCGATTCTTAGCACCATGTATAAATAAATGAGTAAAATAAAGGTCCATCAGTGTCTAAAAATAGTTTAAAAATTTTTTGGACACTTTCTATGTGCTAATGACAGAAATACATTGTGTCATTTCAGATTTACAGTGTCAAGTAGAGGCCCTTGGGTTAAGACTTCAGAGGACAGTGGCGGAGCTGGACAACTGTAAAGAAATGCTCACGTAAGCTGTTAACTATTAAACAGAGTGCAAGACTCCAGTGTTCTGAACATGTGCCACAAAATGAAGAATTTAGAAAGACCCCGGGTATGCTCTGCTCCCCAGGCAGCCCCTCAGCTGTGTGGGTAATAGTACGTTGCTGCTTTCCTTTGCTGTCCTGCTGGTCTAGATTGTACATATTGAAGGACCTGTACGTATTTTTTAAAACAAAGAGTTTCTTTCCTTCACTAAGAAAGTTATCAGCTGTTTCGTGACTTTTTGGTTAAGATCAAGTATTGAAATTTACCTAGCAATATATTAATGTTTTCCCTGGTTATTCAGAGGCAAACAATGTGAAATAGTCGCTGAACTTTTTTCTTATTTTTATACTGTCTATTCATAAGAAGTAGTACTGGAGTTGTTTTGTAACATGGTAGCTTCCAAAAGAAAGCTGAGCAGCTTGGAAATGCTGATGTATTTATATAAATCCAAAATAAAATATTAGACATCAAATGATAAAAATTACCTTGTAAGATATCCAGAGCACTACTACTTTTTAACAATTCTTTTAAGAAATTTTGAAAGTTACTTTGTTATCTAAACATAGCATATCTATAATTATAAAACTAAAATAGAATGTAAGTAATCTTTGAAATGTAAGTAAATTCTTTTACTTTGTTATATATAATCTGCTAGCTCTGGTTTTCAGTTCCTATAATTTAGAGGGATGAACCGCATAAGAAATACAAATATTTAGAATGCTTAGCAACCAAATGTTTGTGTTGACCATGGGCTACTCCTAAGAACAATGTGTTTAACAAAGTACTGGACACTGTAAGGAGGAACAAATCCCCAAAATGCTCCATCAAATTAATGCATACCTGGATTATTTGTAGCAAAATATGCCGCAGTCTGGCTGGGCACAAATAACCGAGCTGCCACAAAGCCTTGTAGGTTCAAACAGCAACCTTTATTCCCAAACTTTATTCCGGGAACACACTGCCTCCACTGGGCTCCGTGGCCAATTCTCTCAGAACCCCGCGAGAACTCAAAGGGAACTCCAAAGTAGTGGGCACCCGAGGCAGCAGGAATCCGCCCTAATCCTGGAGCTGCCCTATTCCAGGGTCACCTCTAACCATTCCCTCTGGCAAAAATGCCAGGCGTCATTCTGACTAAACTGTGGCTCTCAACAAAAATAGTGTGGTTTTTGAAAGCCAAGAAAAATAAATATTCATGCTGTATAACATGGAGGTTTATAGTCCAGTAAGCCCAGCAGTTCAGCTGGCTGTCTGTGTAGGGTGGCTGGGGTGAAGCCGTGATGGACAGGAGTCCTTGGGGACACCCCACCCTGGACCCAAGTAGTCAGCTTCTGGGAGATAAGAAACATGACAAACTGTAAGAGTAAAAGAAATTGAAGTTAAAGTGTAAAAGCCCGGGCATTGTAAAGTTTCTAAGCTGCAAGGCCTGAGTTAAAAAGTAAAGGATCAGGTATTGTTAAATTCCTTCGCTACCCCCAAAACCTGAAATTCCTGGAGCTGTTAGGACAATACCCGAACTGCCCAGTAAATATTCCTCCTGATCCTCTGGTTGTTTAATAACTTAGGACCCTGTGTTACCCGGCACGTAGGCATTCAAGGCCCAAAACCAATCAGTTTGAATGTGTACCCCGCTTAGGAGTGACCAATCACCCTGCCCGCCCTGTTCCCGCCAATGGATGTACTAATCAAGTCTAAGAATTATTGTTTGATTTTCCCGTGGTGTATGGTGATTTGTTGAAGGAAACTATGATGTGTGTAAAGTCCCCGCCCTCCCCAAAAAGTGTACTTAAGCACTGCTCAACCCCTGCCCAGGGCTCTGGGTTGCTCTCCCTTTTTGAGTGAGCCTGGAGCCTCAGCGTGCTGAATCGGATCCTCAATAAAAATCCCCTTCTGCTTATTGCATGAAGTCAGTCTCTTGGCGGTCTCTTCCTCCGACGTTTCGCCGGTCCCTTACAAAACTGGATGGTGGTTGTAAAAGAAAAAAGAAAAGAAAAATCCTTGTTTCCCTCCCTCTGAAAGCAGAAGGGAGGGCTTTGGCCAAGCCATGGCTCTGGGAAAGCAGCCTCATCAGGCCACAGCTACCGTGTGACATTTGCTTTCTGGAGCTCAAGAAGTGAAGAGAGCACAGTTCAGAAGCAGGGAGGTGGTACTAGCACTGGCCTAAGCTAAAAGGGAATCCGTGGGCACCCCAAGACTCAGCTGGTAGAGTCTTGGAAATTAGGAGAGAAGCTAAACAGAAGCCTGCCAAAGAGAAGGGCTACAGCTTACGATTGTTGCATGGAGAGGAAGTTTGCACAGATTTCTTTTTATATACAAGGAGCCATCCCATTTACAATTAACACATTCCTGTGGTAGTTTTATTAATTATATTGTAAGCATAATTTGTGAAATGAGTACTGAGAAATGACGGGGGTCAAGGTAGACTGAAGTTGTGGGAGAAGTACACACCCTCACCAAGCCCAGCAGGCTAATTACCTGCAGGCGATCCCGATCCCGTTCAGTTGCAAAACTGCTGAATTGTGTTGGTTATAAAACCAGTGATTCCTACTCACAACAGGCCTTCTTGCAATGGGAAATTGGACAGAGCCCTCATTTTCAGAAAATGTGAACTATGAACGGCAACTTAAAATGCCTCCTGTCCTAGAGACCTTTTCAGTGCCACCTGCCTCCAGCTCATCCATCTACACTGTTCACTTTCACTACGAGGATTCAGTTGGGGAGGGTGGGCAATTGGGAGCAGTGCCTGGAATTGCTCAAGTCTCAGGGTATTCAGAAGCCAGGGGGTTCCCCATAGTCAACTAGTGCTCTTTTATTTACAGATTGGAGGAAAATTTGTGGCTTGACCATTTTTTAAATGATTGATTTTAAGTAAAAAATAATTCACTCAAAATTGGTAGAGCTTGTTAATAAGTTGGAAAGTTACTATGCATACTCAAACCTCTTTGAACTTCTAGAAATTAGAAAATGCTATGGCATCTGTTTCCTTTAATTTTTATCCTCATCTTTTATAGAGGACTGGAAGTAGGAATGATTTTTACCTATTCAACTTAGATAATTCTCTTGTTTAAATATTTGGATATACATTTTATAGATTTTGATATAAGACGAAGAAGCAGTTTACACATGGATGAAATTGGTTTTTATTTTTCCTTTTGATATTTTTAAGAAAATATTTTCTATAGGTTATAAAAACATTGTTGTGTATTTAAAATCAGAATTTCTTATCAATTAGGATGCTTTGGGCTCCAAGTAGTTAGTTGATCCAGAGACTCAGCAGTGTCTCCAAGGATCTTGATTTTCTCTCTTGTCTCCATCCTCCTGCCTTCAGCATTGGCTTCTACCCAAAACTAGCTCCGTTGTGATCTGCAGGTGACTGCAATTCCAGATGCCATGTACATACAAGGCCACCAGAGGCAGGACGGGCCTTCTTTTCTGGTATGTCCTTAGAAGCAAGGAGAAAAATTACCCAGAAGCCACCAATTAGACCTCTCCCTACACCCCCTTGGCTAAAACCCTTTACGCACCCTCTCCTAAACGAGTCACTGGTAAGGGGAGCAGGACAACCAAAGTGAGCTCACGTCTGGTAGGCTCATCCTGAGAGGAAAAAGCAGGTTTGATCCCGAGGGCCAGGGAGAAAGCCGCAGTGAGGGCCAAGCCGCCGCGTGTCAGCTCTGAGGCAGAGCATGAACAGGGCTCTGCCACGTTGATGGCGAGGCTTTCTACAAGCTTTATTTCTAGGAATCATAATATTTAATCAATTAAGGGGAGACCTCCCTGAAATAATGAAAAATGTGAAGACTGAAATTCATTTTTATAGTTTTTAAGTATAGGTAGATATGAAGTGTGTTTTTATTATTTTCATGTAGATATTGAAAAAGGACTGCCCTAGATGGTGAGAGATTTTCAGGAGTTCCTGGGAGATGATGCATAGGAAGGGTCTGCTCTGTGGAGGAGTAATGGAGAGGAAAGCCACTTGTGAGCTGGTGGCAGTGGACATGTGACAGGCAGGACCTTTCTCGGAATCAGTTTAAGACCAGAAAGTGGAACCTGGTGAATCATGGGCAATGGTTGTCTGACTCCCATCTGTGGACAACTCCTGGGGAGCTTGTTAAAACCCTGTACTACAGTGTGACCTCGTCCACTCAAGCCCAGAGTCAGATTTCATTTCCAGAGATGCTCCGATTTCACATTTGGGCCTAGAGCATCTCCAAGCAATCACACTTTTGTGAATTCCCATGTGTTCTGATGTAGGAGGTCCACTGACAGCTCCTCTGAACATGTAGGCCAGCTGGTCTACAGCAAACTCCTCCAGCCAGCTGGTATGAGCAGCATTCACAGAGGCATCTATAACCTCAGGCTAAAGCAGTGAGTGCAGAAGCTGGAGCCAGGGAGCTGGGGTCCCTGCAGCTCAAGATGAAACTCAGTGCCCACCTCAGATAGCATAACCTGCTCCTTTGTACAACCTCCAGAACAGCCGAAGGTGAAATGAACAGGAAAGCAGACAGTCAGAGGCTCTTAAAGCTGGGGTGAACACACAATGAAAAGTTGGTGTGTAAGGAAAAACATACTCTCCACACACCCCCAAATTGGTTAGGGGTTGCACAGGGAAATTTTAATACCTTAGGAAATTGGTAAATAGCAACACAGGTATAACTGATATCCTCCAGAGTATGTCCAGAATTGTAGCCTAAAAGAAAAACTATTAGGAAAAAGAAGCTATTAGGAATTTGAGACATTAAAAAAAGATCATAAAAATGACGATCCCCTTTTGTTAAAAGTGTATATGAGTGATAACACACATGAGGGCTTAAGTCCCCAGAGTGGATGTTTGGAAGGACTGTAGCAGCACCTCCGGGAGTGAGCAGGAGTGAGCATGGGGTGTGTGTGCAGATTCTTACTTCACCCCGTACACCTACACATTGTGTAGTTTATAGTATAGATATGTTTGTTCTCATGTATGTCATCAAAAGAACAAATTCACTTAAG